GTCAGAACAAATTTTGATGTAAAAATTGAGCAAAAGGTAAGTTTATTACTCTAAATTGCCTTTTTTTTCCAAAACGACCCCCCTATAAATCACGGTACGAGCCTGCTTTGAGAGTCCGATTTAACAGGATTTTACTGTTTATATAGTCACTAAATGTATCTACAGTGATTGCATTGTACATTGTACAGGTTGCTATGGAAGCTATGTCCGAATCTTCCCAGCAAGCGAACTCTTCAGTGTCTAATGAACATAAGATGGCCACTACAAAATCTGACTCTAGGAGAAAGTGGTGTAACGGTGCCAAAAGAAGACAAGAAAAGAAGCGTGATTTGCTTCAATCAGGCCGTGATCCTAAACAACGCAAGCTGCTATTTAATAATGAACATATTATCAATGTTGTTGAAGAAGCATCTGTTTCCGCGTCAAACCTAGTGTTAATTAAAAAAATGCTTTTTTGTGGAATATAATGCCTAACGTAATCATTAAAGCAAGTACCGTGTCAAATACAGTATCCTCCAGTCCTCAACAAGATAAGCAATCAGATTTTACCATTAGCAAATCGCCCGTAAAAACTATAACAGCCTGTATGTCAGAACTCGGTGCAGTTGTTACCGAAGAGAGTATATATGATGTGTATATAGAGTTAACAAACGATGATGCTAACTCAAGTATTCTCAACCATAAATATCAGTCTACCGAAACAACAAAATTGATTTATAAACGACTTTCTGACAGTGCACAGCGTAGCGAAAGAATAGCATTAGTAAATAATAACATGATTCAGCCGAACCATACAGATGTAAAGCATTTACCGTATGATTCAAGAGTGTACTAAAGATTGATATCAGATATAAATATGTACAAAAACGTTGGATAACCGCAAGTGTTGAAGACAATCAAATCGTGGCACTTTACTGCAATGCATGCATAACATTTTTGAAAGAAGATTCTAGTTTTACTCTTGGATTTAAAAAGTTCTCCCATATATACCAAAGAATCAAAGACCATGAAGAATCTAAATCACATAACTCTTCTGTAGTTGCACTATTAAGTTGTACAACAGAGAAAGATATAAGCTCTTTAATCAACAAAGGTATAGTGGAAAAGCAGAAAGTGCAAGTATTGAAAAACATCAAAGTATTTAAACAAATTTTTGCAGCAGTTATTTTTATTGGGTAGTTAGCTCTTCCATACAGAAGTAATCGGGGTGAATCTCTCTACAGTTTACACGATAAATCTATTGATAACGGAAACTTTTTGAAACTAATATTGTGGATAGTTTGACGTTCCTCTTACTAATCATATAGAAAAAGCAATTCAGGCAAGTCAAAAAAGGAAAGATTGTTTGATACGTAAAGGAAAAGAAAGCTCACGTGGACGCGGAGGCTTGGTAACAATGTTGTCAAAACTTCAGTTAACAATATTTTAGCCGCTATTTCAAACTTGATGAAGAATTGTATAATCAAGGAAAATGGTGATCAGAAATTCAGTGTTGAAATGGATGGTAGTCAAGATACGTCGGTGATTGATCAGGAGACAGTAATCTTACGATATGTACTTGGAGAGGACGTGAAAGAGCGATTATTTGCGGTAAAAAAAAAATACCGATGCAACAGGTGCAGGTCTATACCAACTATTAAAATCAGAAAATGAATACAATGGTTTAAAAATGGAAAAAAATGTGGACGAATCCTTTGATGGAGCAGCAAGCATGCGTGGTAAATATTATGGAATTCAACGTTACATTAACGACGTTTCACCAAATGCACCATTTGTCAGCAACAGATATTGTGGAAAATATATTACCTGTCAAAAATTTAATTGGTCTCTTGTAGAGTACAGCAACATACTTTGGCGATTCTTGCAAACTAATGAACGTTTGGACGGATATTCACATTGGACAAGGAGTTGGATCTGCGAAACTGAAAAGACTGCAAAAAATTGCTAAAACACGTTGGTGGTCGAAGCAGATGGCGCTTGAACGAATTTTTTGAACTTATGATGCTCCACAAGTGGAATCGTTCTATGCTCTTATGCAAGTTTTTTATTGTATTAGGATATCTTTAAGATTCGATGCAAAATCAACATTCAAAGCCACAGCACTGCATGACTAATGGTGTCGATTTGATGTGCTTCTTGCAGCCTTTCTTCTACGTGTGTACATCGTTTTGAGACAATCATCCAAATATTTGCAAACAAGAGGTCTGGATTATTTAAGTGCTTGGAATATGGTAAAATTAGCAAAACAAGAACTGCAGACAATATCGTTCGAAGATGTCCATTCTAAGACAATTGCATTTGTTAAAGAAATCAACACCCTCCTAGATGCTAGTGAACTTGATTCAGAAGTTGAAACAGAATTGCGTGTAGAACGAGTTCATCAAAAGAAACGTAAAGCGGGGGAACTCGCCTTTGATGACATACCAGAGAATCCTCTTGATCGTTTCAGAATGGATGTTTTCTGTAGATTAATTGATCAGATTACTACTAGCATAGATGAACGTTTCTCAGTTAACAGAGACATCATTAAAAACACTGCGTGTTTAGATCCAGACGTTTTAAAGAAATTGTTGAAAATGGTATTCCAGAAAACAGTCTTGCAAAAATTTCTCAACTAACTAATCTTTGTTCTGAAAGATTGAGATCTGAATTGTATAGCTTTGCTATAAACTTCGATAGGCTCTCAAAATTACTACGAGATGAATTTACAGTGAGTCCTAGTGACGAAGATTCAGAAGAATGGAATTCAGTCTTAGAGTTGGATTATTATTGGTTATTATTATTATTATTATTATTGTTATTTTTATTATTATTATTATTATCATTGTCTACATAACTATCATGTATATTTCATACATAAGTAAAATGACATGCTGAATTAGATTGCAAGCTTGAATGAACTTTGAACTTTGAAAGTGTAACATTTTACCTATTTATATTCAAATTAAAAATACCTTTATGTAAACATTAGCCTATTTTCTACCCCTATCCCAACCTTGTAGCGCCCCTCCCTCTTCCCTTCCCGATACGGTTTGAAGCCCCAGTCCGCGCCTGCCTGTTTTGTATAATGGCAGAGTAGAAAAATGTTAATAAATGAAAAAATGACTTACACCATTTCTTACTGGAAAGAAAAACTGATATTGAAACTGATATTGAGGCTGATATTGTATGAAAAAGATGCAACTTGCTGCAGATGTTGTCTCTGGAGAATTATAATTTTATTAATTTCACTTCTCGAAAATTGCAAAAACTCATTGTAAATGCTGTGACTTCCAAAAGTTCATCACAATTGCTTTGACTTGCAAAACTTCATCGCAAGTTCTGTGGCTTGCAAAAACTCATTGCAAGTGCTGTGGCTTGCAACAACTCATTGTAAGTGCTGTGACTTGCAAAAATACATTGCAAGTGCTGTGACTTTTAATTACTTTTAATAGACTTTTAAAACTTTTAATAGACATGACTTTTAAAACTTTTAATAGACAGCTATGGATTACCTTCACTTGGTGTCTATCATTAAAAATGATTACTAAATAATTTCATTAATGGAATTTATCATTGCTATCATTTACTAAAAGCCAAGACAAAATCATATAAAATAAAATATTAAAATAATCAAACATTACTTTTTGTTAATAACATTTATACTTTTTTTAGTTTGAAACAAATTTTGAAACTAAACTTCTATTAAGCACTAGCATGAAAGGTTGAAAGATTTATATAGGTTGGTAAATGTCTTAATTTGATTACCTTTTTTATCACTATTGACTGATAATTGGAGTCCCTCAGTAGTAGGAGAATGTTTCAGTAACTTATTCTCCAAATAATTAAAACTCTTTCTTTCAAATAAAAATTTGTTACACTTTTTTAGGTTGGGGAGGAAGGGAAGCAAACACCTCCTCTCTTATGACCATAGATGCATCAGTAATGTATCTTTTAATCTAGTTAATTATGTTACACTTCTTTGTTTTTGTACTTTAAATAACCAATGAGATATTTCAAGATTGAAACATTTTTTGATATTGTAGTGTTAAAACATCAACACATCTACTGAGTTTTACATTTATCTCCCATATTTGGATCTACCAAATATGATAGAACAGTAATTGCATTTTATCTTTTTTTTTAGGTTGGGTGAGGGGGGGCATACGCCCATCCGTAATATAAACACCACTTGTATATGTAAAATCTTGTATAACATAATTTTTTATTGAATTTTATTTTACTCGTTTTAGAAAAGATATAAATATTAATAAAATCAAGTCATTTTTGATACTAGGGTGTATCAAACCATCACTTGATTTTATTAATATAAATATCAATAAAATCAAGTCATTTTTGATACTAGGGTGTATCACACCCACTTCTAGCACCATCATACACCTCACATATTTTAGTGGTTTAGTACAAATTTATAACAACTTTCTGTATATTTATGTTGCTAATGTCTCAAAAAAGACTTTTTCTGAAAAAAAGTATTCTGTTTAATATGGGTAAGGTGGTGGTTTAGTTCCCCCTCTGTCTATCCGATACGTCCAATCCATATATCGGAAAATCGGTACTTAAACCGTCATAACCTTTGAACAAATTCTTCGATTTTGATATTTTTTCACCTTTAAAATTGTGTACTGATCCTCATTCCGATGATATATAACATTATAGTATTCAAACAGTTTTAAATTTTTATCCACATACCTATAAAAGGTTATTTATTTATCAAAGCAATACAATTACGTTTTAAATACAATGTTATAAACAAAACTTACAGGTGTGTTCAAAATAATGAAGATTAATAATAAATATACAGATGATTTAATAAACAACTATTTAAAACTGTTTATTTACTTATCAGTAAATGTAAAGTTTTATTTATTTACTAAATTCAAATTTATATCTAAATATAGAATTAGAAATGAATTACTTCAGTAAATCTTGTTTTGAATGTTATTTAAAAACGAACTTTATCAAAAAAAATTAGTTAGATATATCAACCAAAATCATACTATATCAATATCAATAAAAATAACATATTTTATTTCCATATGGAAGAGTGAATAGTTAAGTAACAAAGAAATCCGTATGATGTTTTCACTGCGCTTATTTATGTAAATAAAACGGGGGGAAATTCTACAAATCACCTTAAAAAAAAAAAAAAACCCACCCTATATAAACCTGACAAAAAATTAAAAACTCATGAACATACCAAATAAATAGTTTCAGAACCTATTTTAATGTGATGGCAGATGTAGGCCCGGATTAAAATCTATAGTGCCCATAGGCTGTAAAAAATTTGGTGCCCCCAATTAAAAAAATATATTGTACACATTTCTCTACTCGATACTTGAATAAATAATAAAACTTTATTTTAGGTTTAATAGCCACATCAATATGTACATGTGTATAATACCTATGTGGAAACAAGTAAAAACATAAATTTAAAATTAAACAAAATATATTTTAGATATATAAAAATATAAAACAATCATATTACAAAAAGTAACAAACCATTAGTTTATACTTTTCTTTTTCTGGCTTTTTGATGGGCAAATGTGTTAATAGTATCACTAAAATCTAATTTTTCAACCAATTCTGCTTCAATGCTAAATATTGCTAATGCTTTCAGTTTTTCCTCCTTCATGGTTGACCTCAAGTAGGATTTTACTCTTTTAAGTACAGAAAAAGCTATTTGAAGCTATTGAAACTGCTGTACTAAGGTACATACGCATAACTATTTCTAAATTTGGAATCATACACTCTAATTCTTTGGTCTTGATGTACTTATACATAGAGAGAACAGATTTTACATTTTTATCCGTTTTCAACATCATCAATAAAATATTTTGCCAAAGTTTCACATGTGTTTCTTACAACAATAGAACTCGATGTTTTATACAATGGGCATACACCCATAAATATCTGATATTTTTTCATAAGCTTGTCTTCTCGAACTAAGTTGACATTTAAGAGTATCAATGATCACATAATATACATTTCTAATAAAATCTATTTTCCCTGTGATTTCTGTGAGAGGTTGAGATCTTGATTCATCAGCCATAGCCTAAAAAAAAATAGTTTTTAATGTTGTTAATGTTTATGACTTTTTCCAAATTATTTTATGTGTATTTTAAAATTAATAAGTTAAACATACCTTTCTCTTTTTTTTTCTCTTGGAATCTTTGGCATAGTCCGAACAACCAGTAATTTCTATATCCTTATTTTCAAAAACATCAAAATCATCTCTGATCTGTACAGATCAGAGATGATTTTATTCTGTTTTAATATCTGTGTAATGTTAGTTTAAAATAATATTTTTTAATATATTGATTTTATATATTAGGTAGGTGGCCATTCTGTTCCTAGCTTCAGAAGTTATTTATAACTATGCAATACTTTCGCTCAGGTTAAAGAATGGAATACTAGTCTTGCATCAAATGTATGTAAAAATCTAGCTTTTATATATTAACTTGTGATCAGAGCAACTGGTATGTTGGTTGGGTATGATCTTGTATGTTTGTGTATTTAATTTAAAAAATGTATTGTCCTTCGTTATATGCAACATTTTTTTATAGATATATTACATATCCATTCGATGTTTATCACCAGAAGTTAGTTCTACCTTTGCAGTACCTCTGCTCTACATACCTCCTCGCTGGTTAAAGAATGGAATATAAATCTCATATCAAGTTGGTGTAAAAATTTAGTTCAATAAATTAAGAATTTATAAACGTTATCAAAATTTGGAGTGGAGCAATTGTTTTTCTGGTTTAGCATGAGTATGAATCTGATATCAATTGGATGTACAAAGATAGTTTACTTCTTAAAGAACCTATCAGTAAACCAACTGATTATAAAACAGTTTTTAATGGGAATAAAAACAAATTTTCAAAAGATTTCAATTAGCTATTTGTATATTCAAACACTTTATTTACTGAGAGAAGAGACTATAGATTCAAGTGCTATAAAATAATTCTACTACCAAATGCGAGGTTAATTCAAAAACTTAAACTCAATTTTGGTCATGAATTATTTTATTAGACTTGGTGAGTCTTTATTTATTAACAACACCTTATTATTATAACTGTATGCACAGAAAAAAAATAAATGCTTAAGCTTTAAATGTTTTGACTAAATATTTCAAAATCTGGATTTTCATTGCAATGCAATGAACTTATTGGCTTAGGAAAAAAAGTTTCTAAAACAAGAACTCCTAGGTTTAAAAATGTACTCTTTTAACAGCTAATCCCCCTTTTAACTACATTTTTCATAACTTTGCGAAAAGTGCGGTTTGCTTTCAGACCTCATTAAAGTCTGTTTTAGCTATCCTTAAACAATTAAGTAAGGTTTTTTTATTTTTATAATAGTCAAACAATAGGTATATTTGAGAATAACTATCAGAAATAAATTTTTCTGATTTTTTTTGATAAAAAGTAACATCAAATTACTTGAATTCAGCCAACTTCATAATTTGTCGCATTTTTTTTAAACTTAAAGAAGTTTTTTTTCTAATGCAGTAAATGTCGTAAGATGAAACATTTTATTGGTGTTTTTATTCTTTTTACAAAACAAAATTATCTTTTTCAAGGCCATTATATAGGTCTAATACTGTATAAAGATCAATGTCAGTTGATCTTCATGTCAGTTGATTGTAATTTTTTATTTGTAGCATTAAAACTAAAATCATATTAAATTTTATATTAATTAATTTATCTATTAAGCTGACACTAATAAAATAAAATAAATGAAAGCTTAATTTATTATTTAAAAATAATTAATTTATAGAGTGAAAAATACCTGTTTAATATTGAATTCCATATGCATATCATTAAACCAGTTTCTAAAGTTTTTAATCTTGCAAGCAACCCATTGGCTTCTACTTTATATACAGCTTTTTCTTTCTGATTATCAACTATACTATGCAAAGCTTCAATTATAAATGCATAAGAATTGAATAAAGCATGGCAAGCATCAAAACGAGCACTCCAGCGAGTTACTGATAAAGTTTTTACACTAAGATTTTAAAAAGTTCCCATTGTTAATTTTGTTAAATTGTTCATTATCACCTCTGAATGATAAACCTTTTGCACGGAGAAATTTAATTACTTTAACAACTCGATGAAGAACAGCTTTCCAGTAAATCATTTCATCAGTCACTCGTGTTGCCAATTGAGTGTCAATTCTACCTCACTTTGTAATGTAATAAAACTTAATGTATTATATTTATGTGCCAAAGAATTTTCGTGCCTGGAAATAACTAAATGTCCATTTTTTCAATCATTAAATCCAGCATCTCCCAGTTGAGTACTGCATCCGAATAATTTGCATGGAGCACAAAATAATAAAATTTTGAAATTGAATAAACAAGCCATTTCCGTGAAACATTTTCTCCGTTTTTTCAATTTTTCGTAAAGATTGATTTACTATAATAACGATCATAATCAGAATAAGTTCGTTTTAATGAGGTAAAATCTGCATCAATGTTCTGATCATATCCAAATTTTGCAATATAATTACGACATATATTACTATTTGTCCAATCTGTTGGATCTTTAAAATTATTTGTATTATTCTGCATAAGAGGATTAGTAATGATTCTAGGATTAGCTCAGATTTTTCTGATTCCTCATTTACATCAACAACTGATTGATCTGAAGAAGAAGCAGTACATTGAATAGAAGTAGAAGTAATAGAACAATTATTAGTAATAGTTATATCATTTGAAGATTCTAGTTTATTATCTTCAACACAACTAGGGGTAATGTTATTTATTTGTTTGAAAAATTATTTAACCTAGGTATTTTACTAAGTAAAATCACTTCTTTTTCTTTTTTATCAATTGCACGCTTTCTCGCTTGTGCTCCACTAATATGTCGTTTCTGATCCATTTTCGCATAAATATTGAACACTAAACTATATATAAAACGCACTACTCGCACTAAAGTAAAACCTTTATAATAAATTTACAAGTTACAATAGTGTTAACAAAACATACGTACGATCAAACGGACGAATTTTCGATGCACGTGACGCGTGTATACGAAATACTAATACTATTTTATACTATTTTACCCAATTTATGACCATCGGCGGCGAGCTACGACAAATATAAATAAGTAAACGCACTGGCATTGTCTACCGTCTGCGGCTCCACTTACGTTATCGGTGTGCGACCGGTTCTACGGAAAAATAACAATCTAAAAATAAAACGAGGTTTAGATGACCGCACGACAAAACGCATTGATTATTACTATTTCAAATTTCCGATATTATTTAAATAAAAATAACATCAGGATGGATGGACTGCTTATTGTCAAAGACTATTTTACAGATTGTACAATTTTTCTAGTTAAAAAATAAATAAATAAGGATAGTATGTAGTGTCAGTGCCCCTAAATCCGTGGTTGTGTAGGCTGAAGCCTACACTGCTTCCGCCTTAATCCGGGCCTGGGCGGATGAATTATTTAAATTTACTGGTATTTTACAAATTAGCTTTAACTATCTCGATTAATTATCTTTGAGATTGCGGGAATATGCAGTAAAAGAGTTTGACTATCTGATCGGTAGAAAGAAGTTGACTACGGATCTGAGTACCATTTTCCCGGTGTTATTAATACGACGGTATTTTTACAGTAGGTTAAGCGGTTTCTTTTTATAAAATTGTCATCTAGTGCTTTTTCTTTGTTTTAAAGAGTATTTTATGTTAAAACTTTATCATATTTTATGTTTATATTTCTCCGCCTGTTTTTTATTTTTTCAAATTAGTTTTTATCTATATCGGACAAACTAAATGTTAAGTGAGAGATGTAAAATGAGAGTAAAATCTTCTCAAAAACATGAAAACTGTCAAATCTATGCAATCTTGAAGTTCACCTTTACTGAAATCGTACGATCCGATTAATTTACTGAAAAATCGTGTTAACAGGTTATTACATTTTTGACGAAACCGTACGGATATATTTACAAAATTTTTTTATACTTTTTTAGCAAAAGTCAAACACCACACACAACTACCTAAAGATATTTAATGCTATGTTATGACTAAATTGAAAGCAGATAGCTTACCCAGATAACACACTAACGTTGGCCCAACGTCGGATAAACGTCGAAAAATTCGTTGGCCGATGGTCGGCAACTGACATCGCCACAACGTGGATTTGGAAGTCGGCTTGATCACAACTTTCAACATAAATTTTTTTATTTCATATCTATACAAAAAAATTATTAAGTAATGCATCACTGCAAAACACTAGACTTGCATCTAAATTCCTTTATACAGATATTAGTAGAAGTCAAACTGAAAAAATTTCTGAGTCTGTTGTGAAATAATGTTTATTAAGATCATTGTCATATTAATTATTATTACCTTAAACAGGAAACTTTCTCTTGCATTGTCATTATCACTCTCATATACATTGTTGTCATAACAAACACTTCAATAATCATTAGAAACATTACTGGATTACAAATTAATTTTCTGATCACAACTTTCAACATAAATTTCTTTTATATCTCTATCAGCTTGCTTTCTAACTCTTCTTCTATTTGTTATATATGAAGCAGCCATCTAAATTATAAGTAAAATAAAACTTAGTATCAGTTGCAAAATAACACATCAAAATTGTTTTAGTAGATTTGAATTAACCGCTAAAAAATTGTCTATAAAGGCAATTTTTTAGCGGTTAATTGGAGTTTTGCTCATGGGTTACTTAGCAGACCATTAGTGACATCCACATTAAATGGCAAGCTGATAACTTTCAGACATTTCTAACATTTTTGTTGGCTTCCACTAATGGTCTACTAAGTATCTGTTGAGCAAAACTACAATGGTCCGCTCAATATATAGGTCCGTTCTGACTACATAGGTCCACTAAAATTCTGCTATAGAATAATTGCTAAAAATGTATTTCTATTTTTAGTAGTCTTTTATTATTTTTTGATATTATTACTATTTAATTATATATATTTAATTATACATCTTGCAACATTCACCAGACATGCTTGCTCTTAGTGAGATTAAATTTCACTATTCCTTCTTTAGATCTCAGTGCTAATGAGTACTATCCTTTGATTTGCAAAGATTCCAATAGTCAGATGTTTGGCTTCAGGGCCACCAAGAGCTGTCACGCCACCTGGGACAGCAATCCTGATTGGCGCCCTTATTTATCAAGTTTTTCCTATATTATATATGAAGGACCTTTTTTTTTAGGTACCTACATTTTGTTTGGCGCCCCTAAGATATCTGTTGCCCGGAACAAACTGTTCCTCGCCACCTCCCCCACCCCCTCTCAGCGGCACTGCTTGGCTGGGTGGTATACATACGCACCAATTTACCCATTTGTCGTGAAATCAGGTTTGAGTCTTTGGACCATTCTTTTATATGCTTCCGTTTTTTCACCTCTTCACTCTATTACTATTCTATTTGATATTTATTCAACTTCCTGATATTCAGGCAGGAATGGAAGATTTTATTTCTTCTCTTCAGTTTCAAGTTGAGCCTCATTCTACTCAATGGTTTCCACCCTCTTGTGCAGCTGCTATATCTAATCATTATTATTTTTTTGATCTTTTTCACAAGAACAAATTACTTAAGAACAAGCAGCTATTTATTATTGCAAGAAATTGATGTAAAAAAGTGCTGTCAGATCCAACGTTCCATTATTTTCAGTTCACTAAATCTCCTATCTTATCTCAGAACCATGGCTCTAGTGGCTTTTGGAAAATCTTCAACAGCGTTGTTAACAAAGTTAGGTCTAACATTTCATCTCTTATTCATGGGACTAATCTTATTACCTTTCCGAAGGATAAGCAACCAAGGATAAGGCTGAACTCTTTGCAAAAAACTTTTTTTCTTATTCTACTCTTAAATCTTATGGCCATTCTTTTACTTCCATTCTAATTAAACAGGTTAACCAATTGTTAGACATTCAAACCACTCCAGCTTCCGTTGCTTAGGTCGTATGTCAATTAAACTCTTCTACGGCTTGTAATCCAGACAACAATTCGAAAAATTTATGTCACTGCGAGCCCTAGATTGGGGCTCGCAGTGACTTATAAATTTTAACTTCAACAAAACTCAGTTATTTACTGCAAATAACTATCGCAATACTGTTGACATTTCTATATTAATAAATAGCGATCTTTTCACTTAGTCCTCTTCTTTACATTTTTTTGGATTATTTTTTACTACTGACCTTTCATGAAAATCATATACACAATCAATTGATCAATTATCATCCGCTAAGGTTGTTTTTCCTTATGTTCGCCATTTTATTACTCCTGATTCCATTCTTTACCTCAACAAATCTTATATTCGTTCCGGTATAGAATACTTTTGCCGTATTTGGGCTGGTTCTACTAATGATGCTCCTTCCCTTCTAGATAAGATTTAAACACGCATTGTAAATATATTTGGACCTGCTCAATCTGCTAAGATTGAGCCTTTTTCACATCGTCGTAAAGTTGCATCTCTTTCTCTTTTAAATAAATACTATCATGGAAGCTGCTCAAAGGAGCTATTATCTCTAGTTTCGTCAACTAAAACTCGTTTGAATAGTCATTTAGCAAAGTCTCGTTTGTTTACTGCTTCTGTCCCTGCATGTTCTAAAAACTTTTCTGTCTCTGCATGTTCTAAAAACTTTTGTTCGTCTAGTTTTATTCCCCGCACTTCAACTCTTTGGAACTCTGTCCTATTTTATTTTAAATTAATATTTCATAAAAACCAACTGCCACTTCTACATTGAACAACTATAAGATAAAAACTAAGATTTATGTTGCTCTATAAAAATAAAATATTTAGCGCAGCCTTTTTTTCTGCCTCTAAATATTCTTCCTTAAAAATGTAAGATACGGTCATGAATAGTCCATGCTGTAATATTACAATATTATATACGAATTGGTAGTGCAAACAGACAAACTGGGGTATTCAATTTCAAAAAATAAAAAATATTACAAGAATATTTACTTTATTTATAATTATTTAATTACTACATCTTAACTACCAGATATTGTGTTGCACAATAGGCAGAATAAGTTAAGCAAGAGATTTTTTCCATAAGAAAGTCTAACTTTGATGAGTTAACATAATTTTTATGCATCATGCATGTTAAAGATGCAATTTTAAAGTCTACAGTTGTAACCTCCACCAATAACAATAGTTTCTCCAGTTATGTAAGAAGCATCGTCTGAAGATAAAAATACGGCAGCTCCAGCGCATTCTGCAGGCTCACCAAATCTAAAATCATAAATGAGGTAATCCACATAAAAGTAAAGCAAGTTTTCTAGGTTTGTAACCCATCATCTCAGATTTTCTACTTTGTAAATACGGTCACCTATATAACATAGACTACTTACAGCACACAGTGAGGCGGAAGTTAAAAATTCTTATTTAGCGTGAGTTAAATAGATGTTTTACATCAAAATTTTTGGGTTTTGTGGCCCAAGGAACTCAAATGTGAAAATTTTTTTTGCATGCAATAAACACCCGTAAAACGCGCAAACACAATCGTTTAAGAGAACTTAGACAAATTTAACCACTATTTATATTAAAAATTTTAGGTTTTATGAACCAAAATATATTATCACAAAATCAACACATACGCCAAAGTGTAATTCTGCGCGATAAACGTAAAACTCTTTTAAAACGCAAAAAAAAAAAAAACTCAAAAAAACTAAGTTAAATATATTAAATGTTTTTTACATTTTAAAATACTAACAATTTCTGTACATCTGATATCATCATTTGATATAAGTGCTAAAACTTTGCAAGTTAATCTATGTGATGACCATTTTTACTATGTATGAAAAAAATCTAAGATGTTGAGTTACATTTTTGTCCTAAAAGTTTTCATAACTCACGATAGGTATGAAAATAATTTTCATACAATAAAATAAAAATTAGCGGCGTCAGAGACAATTATTGCCATTTGAGTATTTTCAACAATATGTTAAAAAAAACTAAAAGTTGAAATCTTTGCAACAAAAATATTCAATACTATTAAAATTAAAAAAATTTAAATATAGGCGGGCATCCGTCGGCTATTAGATTTTTAAATTAAATTAAATCTCAGCTTATATATTATTATAATATTTTTCATTTAATGTACTAAAATATATTAAATTACTCGCTCAATGAGAATTTTAAAACAAAAATAAATAAATTTTTTTAATTCATTTATGCTACATTTACATTTGATCAGACAAGAAAAGCTTTTTTTTAACATAAAATTATTTTTTCAGAACTCTAATAATAGTTTTGTTTATAAGAGCTTGACTAAATTTTCAGAAACTGATTCTGATTTATGCTCATTCTAAAAGAATTAAAAAGAAATCTTGCATTTTGGAATGAGCAATAAAGAAACTATTTTTTTATAAAATTGCTGGGAATTATTGCTTGGTAAATTCATGCGTTTAGGTCTGATTGTCAATAAACATGTGCTTAATCGTAACATAAGACAATAAATATGTGCTCGATGACAACATAGATCAATAAACATGCGCTTGATTACAAAATAAGACAATAAACATGTGCTTGATGACAAGGTAAGATAAAAGCGTATAGCATGCTTTAAATGCAGCAATAAGCTTTCCACCTTTAAATTTAAGGATAACATTTTTAAATAATACTTCTGAAAGGCAAGCAATTTAAATTATTAAATCACCTCTTGTTAATTACGAGAATGAACTCCACAATTGCATAATACCAAGAACTTTTGTCTTATCCGGAAGATTCAGCAGATGGACACAACTTTTATAATTAATTGCAGAGAGTTTTTTTTTAACTTAACACCTAGAGCTTTTTGGTAGTTAATAGGATTAAAGAGAATTTTAAAAATTCAACAATTGCCAATACAAATTAATCAGATCCAAAGAAACTCAGAAATATATATATATATATATATATATATATATATATATATATATATATATATATATATATATATATAAGATAAAACAATTTTTGAATTTTATTTTAAATACCAAAATAGAAATAACTTTCTCGGAAGTCGCTAAATGTTAGGGAAATATAAAAGCCAGTATAAATCCTTTTTTAGGAAAATCTTTTTTTGACCCAACTTTTTAAAAGCAGTAAATCAAAGTTAAACTTCATAAATCTAACTAAAAGAAAATTTAAAACCTTCTCATTGGTGTTTGCTCAAGAAATGATGCACTAATTTGATCAGAATTAGTTAACTAAAAAACAAATAACTATATCACATAAATGTATTTTAAAACACTCAATTTTCTAACGAAAATAATAAAAAAGTTAAAAAAAAACAATAAAAAAAAACAAAAACAATAAATACATCAACTTACGAATGAGCTAAAATCTGTCTTGATAACACCAGGTGCCAAACCATTTATACGAACACCTTTCAATGCACATTCCGCAGATAAAACCTTAACTAAACTCAATAGTGCAGTTTTGGATATCGAATAAGCACCGAGGAGCTACAAACAAAAGCAGCTAAAATATTATCAAAATTGAAAATTATATTATACTAGTTCAAACATTGTTTTTATTATGTTTGTATTACATTCTGGATTAACACAAATTAGCACTTGTAATAAAAGCTAATAGTATACGAGCATATTATTTTATCATTTTTAATTAAAAATGATGTTGTTATATAAAATGAAAACTATTTTTGAATCTTTTATAAAAATGCGCTTACACACTTTAAATTTGTTTAAAAATGAAACAATCATTTTTAAACAAATTTAAAGTGTGTAAGCGTATACAAACAGTACTACTAGGGACGTGGTGAGAATCAAACTTAAAACCTCTCTCTTACAAAGCAAGAGTTTTACCACTGCACCCTTACCAGGAGTTTTACCATTGCACCACTACCAAGAATTTTACCACTGCACCACCACTTTTACCACTGCACCACTACCACATTAAGTTTTTAAATGCAACAAATTAAACATTTTAGCAAATAATTTTGAAAAATGTCAAAAATCTCAAATCTATAATTATTCCTCAAAAAGGAAGGAGTGTTCATTAGGGTGTCCCAAAAAACAACTTTGTTAAAAAAATGTCTGTTCTCCCACCCAAAATATCTGTTCCCATGTGTTCTATATAATAAAATACTGGAATTAAATTTTATGAAAATTTCAAAAATAATTATTTTTTAAAAATAATATTACTTTAAATTTCAATTTAAAAATCAAATTTTTAACTAAAAATAAAAATATGCATTTTTACAAAAATATTTTATTAAATTTTATTAATTTTTAATTTTTTTTAATGCTTTAGCATAACATATTCTATATTTGCAAGGGATTTTCAGAAAGAAACCATGAAAAAAAACAACAACAAACAATGTACTTGATGGTTGGATTCAGATTACTAAATTATTTTTTTTGTTTTGGAATTAGCACAGCAGTATATTTGCGTCAATAACCAGCAAGTAGATAAAGACAGCTATACATCTTTTTTCATGATGAGCTTCTAAGTGGCGCTTGTTATGTAAAAGGATTTATAGCTCATAAAACCATCACCTCTTATTTTATCTAAGTTTTCCGCTTTATCTGTGTTTCAGACTCCACAACATCATGTGTTTTCATGTGGTTCTCGGTGTAGTTAAGGCAATTTCAAAATATTATAGTGCCTGCATGATATTTTGTTGATAGGACATATTTCCATTAACAGGTTTGTGAATTACGAAAAGACAAAAAAAATTAAAATGATAAATTTTGAAGTGTCATAAAATATAAATGTTTGTAGCAAAAAAATCAAGACCGAGATTCTTTTTTTTAAAAAAAACTTTTTAAAATCACAATCGGTTATCCAAACTGGAAAATTTTTTTTAAATAAATATGTTGTTTAGGTAAAATGAACATCATAGTTTAATAATATGATCTGTTCTGATTGTTTATTGGCAACTTTTTTCAATTATAATCTCTTTCTTGGTCGGAATTCCAGTATTTTTTTCAAAAATTGATAGAAATATTGTATTTTGACAGCTATTTATAGTTAAATTATGTCAGAACCAATTAGAACTAGGATCTATAGTAAATTAAGGCACTTTTGCAAAATATTTCAACTAAATTCATTTTAACGCTGATAGCGAAAGTGATCTAAAGACTACAAAATGGTGTTCGTTAGATTCACTATTAGGTGTAGCAAAAAGATTTTGAAAATTATATAAAAAAAGAAAGTTTCTTTAAATATTAAAAAAACCTATCTAAATCTAAAGCTCTTGATTGGTCATAATACTTTTAATAAAATCATGCTAATTCCAAATAAAAGAATTCGAAAAATTTGTAAATTGCCTTAACTTCACCGAGATCAGATTTAAGTGAAAATTTTTCATTACCCCTTTTTTGACATTTTTTGACCTCATGTGTGCCACTATTAAACATCATGGAATTAAATTTTTTTATATATTTCTATTCTCACAATGAATAATATCAAAAAAAAAGGCATTTTTTATTTTTATTTTTTTCTCAACACTGATAAAGTTCTAAAAAAAGTAAAAAAAATAATTCATTTCCTTATTTCTACAGTCTTCTTTATTATAAAATGCACTTTAAATAAATTATAAATAAGCTCTTAAAATATCCTATATTATTTTAGATATTAAACTTAGTAAAGTATCTAGAGGAATCTCGGGTGCTTGATACAAGTGGGAGAGCGGAGGGAGAGAATTTTAAAAGAGAGAAGGGAATTTTAGTCCAGATCTAACAAACAATACAAATAAAGGAGGGGGGGGGGGGAGGGGAATAAAAGAAAGAGGGGAACTTTGTTGAACGTCCAGAAAAATCGTTGAACTTCAACAACTATGAAGAAACCTTATACCACTTCTATGTCCAATCTCATCTAAGATGAGTCAAAATTGCTAATTTACTAAAGCATAAAAAAATGGAGGCTTAATTCATCAACCAAACAATTAACTAATCATTTTTTAATCTGATTTTTTTATTTATTACGTTTATCATCACACAGAGCAGCAGTTGCAGATACTGCTTTAAGGAACTGCCATCAATGATAGTTCAACTCGTAATAATCTTTTCTTGACTATCCTAAAATTAAAAGATTTGATTTGACAAAACAGATTATTAAAATGGCAAGGAGAAAAAGTGGTCGTTCAAGCTAATTGAAATGCAGTTCAAAGCAGTTCACTTCTCTAACACCGTTCACTTTTCTAGCATCTGACTCAATTTAAGTCAGTTGCTAGAAAAGTAAACAGGGCTTTTCTTATTCATGAGGACCCCTAAGTAGCTTAGGATTCACTGTTCACTTTCATTAGTACAGCAAGTCTTTCTCTTGTGGCTGAAATGTTATTTGTATACTCTTTAAATAACTTTTTGCCAAAATTAACAGAAATCAGCAAATATTTAAGTCGTTTATATACTGTCAAATTTTTTTGAGCTTCTGAACTTATCACTTTATCTACAGCTTGAAGAGATAATCATACTATTGTCATAAGCAGTGTTATAGCTTTCAGGAGGAGAAATATATGAACTTGTTTTATTCTCATCATTTAAGATGATGATTTAGATAAAACAAATTCATTTCTCTTCCTGAGAAAGCAAAAAAAAAAAAAAAAATTTGTTTCTCCTCCTGAGATAGCTAACACTGCTTAAGCAAGCAACGTGATGGTTAACAGAAAGTCCTTCTCCTACAGCAGTTAGCGTTGTATGCTTCAAAATATTTTTAAGCAGTGTTACACTTTGTATGTTTAGATTAAACAAATTCATTTATTTTTCTTTCTTAGATAGCTATAACACTGCTTAGGACTGCAGTGTGCTGGTTGATAGAAAGTCCTTTTCCTACAGCAGTTTTACGCTTTAAAATATCTTTAGGTAGTATTATAATTCATTTTTCTTCTTGGATATTATTATTTAGCTTTTACCAAAGTCATTGCAATCTGAACTTAAATAATTAGTGATCACTTTTTGAGTTATAAGATATATGTGAATTTTCCTTTTCTAAAGATTTCCTTCAGATTTTATTTTTGCAGATTTCCGAGCAGCTTATTCAAAGCTAATATCAGAACTGCTTAGACAACTTTATCTTTTTTCTTTCTGCATTTTTAAAACATAATGTCCATAAATTTAATTTTTTTTGTTTTAATTTCATCCACTGTTTTTTTTTATCCATTATGATTTTTATGTCTTGCCTCAACCAAAATACCTTTTTAGATTCATTTAAAAAAGTCTCTAAAATATAAAAATCTGTAGTTTTAAGGAACTACAGCTTTTTATATTTCATATTTAGAGCCTCAACTTTTTAAAGTTGAGGCTCTAATTATTAAATAAAAAAAATTAAATTTAACTTTTTAATGAAATTTAATATTGATTGTATAACTATGTAAGTTATTTAGATTAGGATTTTATGTTTTTTTTTACCCGTAAAATGCATTGAATGCTACTAGCATACAATGCTACCCAACATACCAGTATATTTTATGATTTATTTACCCATGAAATGCATTGAATGCTACTAGCATACAATGCTACATAACATACCAGTATATTTTATGATTTATTTACCCATAAAATGCATTGAATGCTACTAGCATACAATGCTACCCAACATACCAGTATATTTTATGGTTTATTTACCCGTAAAATGCATTTTATGCTCCTAGCATACAATGCATTTTACCAGTTCCCAAAAGGCAATTCCGAGAGACTTCAGCTTAGATATAACTAGGCTAACTATGTAAGTAGATTTAACTTATATAAATAAATATAAGTATATATAAACCTAAGTTTTTGAGTGAAACAGATGGGTTGACTATTTTAGGTAAAGATAATACTGGATTGTGTCTTCTTCATTTAGAAACTAAATAGATGAAGTGTCTTACTAGTTTTTTTTATTTAAGAATATTTCTTTACCTCTATTTCTTACTTTTCCTCAAATCTTTGGCATAACTTTTTATTTTACTTTTCATTTCATGCAAATGAACTATGTAAAACAAATTTAGACTTTTTTAATTTCTAAAAACATAATTTGTTAAATATCATGTAAGAACCAATAATATATTATAGCACTGAAAATTTATAGTTACAAAATTAATATTTGACCTATGATAAAGCTTTTTTAATCTTATTAAAACAGCATATGTTGAAAACTGAGTTAATAAATTAGTAAAAAGAAATCACAATGCTGTCATGGAAACAACTTTGTGCATAGAAATAATGAAAAACTTTATTAAATTTAAAAAAATCAGTTTTTTTATTCATTTAAAATATAGAATATCTATATTCAACATATATAGAAAGAATGGATAAGTGCCTAATCTTTTTTAACATTAGATAATGTGAGAACAAATATATATATAAAAAAACACTTAATTTAATATTGTTTAAGACACACATGGGATCAAAAAATAAAAAGGGTAAAAAAAAAAAATAAGTACTTTGAGGTTGTGAGCCACCCTTAAATCTTTTTTTAAATTTGAAAAAAAATCTTATATATAAAGCAAGGGTCTGAACACCTTAAAAACTTTCTTTCTAGTTTAAAAAAAATTTTCACCTTAATCTGAATCACACAAAATGTCTTTCATGCAAAAGAAAACTGATTGGCTTAAAAAATTATGTCTTTCATGCAAAAGAAAACTCATTGGCTTAAAAATAAAAGATACCAGATACAAACCATTTGCTTTTCTACCGAAATACGAAAGTAAGAAACATTTTAAGAGTTAAAAAAATTAGCCTATTTAGTTTTAGGTAACTATTACATTATTATAACCTTGTAAAACAGGTAAAACACAGTAAAGTAATTATAAAGATTTATCTTTAGATTTGAACACAAGAGTTATGAGAGGAACCAAATGCAAATGTTTTATATGTAAAAACAGTTGCAAAACTATTAACAGTAAAGAAAATAAGATTCTTTTAATGCAACGCCATTTTATAATGAAATAGAAATAAATTTGAAAACAGACCACCAGAAAGTCAGGCCAACCAGTATGTACTGCTTCAAAGAAACAGGACAAGGTTTTTGTCATTCCTGGAATAATACACACAGAAAAATTTGTTTGTGTAATAATTTCATATTTATAATACTTTATGAAGTAAATTAATGTTATGCTATTTAGAAAATGAACTTTTAATTTATTTTAATTGAAAACTAAAATATTGTCATATATATATTTAATATAATCATAAATATAAGATTTATATCTTTATCTTTATATTATTTACATCTTAGATTATTATAAGATAATATTCATATATATAAGATTTTTCAGAAAGAGTTGCATCTACTTTAAAATATAAGACTACAATAAGATCAAGCTGAAAACTTATGGAATAAATCTTAGGTTGATTTTACCAAAATTGAAACTTAGAAACCAAACTTGAAAAATTTAAAATGCTGCAAAATAAGCTTCATGTTAGGCAGGAATTTAATATACATTTTTATAATTTAATATCTGCGAAAATATTTAGGCTCTAAAAAGACACTTTAACTACTATTTCCCACATTTTCAATAATATTTTATCAAAAGGATTTTTATTCAGTGAAACTATGCGGTAGTGGTGTAGTGGTGGAGCGCTCGCCTCATAAGCGAGGAGTTCCAAGTGGGATTCCCACTGTTTCCCCAGTAGTACCTTGCCAAACTTGTTTCTTCATGCAACGGCTTTGTTTGTCAAGGTTCATGTTTAGTTATAGAGTTGAGAGAGGGTTGTAACCACAATTTAAGTTGGCTTTAGTGGCTTTTATGGCCTTTGCAAGGTGAATTAACATTTAAAAAAAAAAAAAAGTTTTTCTATTTCAAATAAAAAACACTTTTAAAATATATTTTTAAAACATTACTAAATTACCGGCATTGGCATAAACCCAGCAACTGATGACACAAACAACATAGAACCTCTAAATATAAATAAAACTAATTATATTATTCAGTATACAGTATAGACATACAGCAGCATGCAAAAGAAACGCTAACTTTTTTTGGTTTTTAATGCATAACTTTTTGCAAACTTTCTAAAATAAGCTGAAATTTTTACCAAATAGGCTTATATTAGTTCATTTAAAAATAGAAACCACCAAACATGTAAAACTCAGTAGTTATTTAAAAATTATATAATAAAAAACTTGTGCAAAAGTTTAGAAAAAGTATCATCCTCTGCAATTAAATTAAGTTTTGATAAATAAAAGCAAAACTAGAAAAATATTTGTGAAATTTAATAATTCACTATGAGATACATCAAAAGCTGTGAAGTATAACTGATTCCTAAGATGATTGCAAAATTTCAGTTGCTTAGTGACAGTTTAAAAGCATGGGAAAAACTAAGGAAGTTTTGAATAAAATAAAAAAATTATTTTTAAAATTTGTGGGAAAAAAAAAAAGACTTACAAAACTATTTCTGAACTTTACAATATTTCTAAAAGTCACATTATGAAAAGATTTTGTCAGCTCAAAACTATTGAAAGCAATTCTCACTCTAGAAAACCTAAATTTATAACTGAAAAGGCTGATAGATTATCAGTTAATTTGAAGAATAATCCTTGCAAGACTGCTATTGAACTTAATTTGATTATGCATCAGT